CCCGGGGACCTCCGTACGTACGGGCTGGTGACCCTGTATATATATATCGTCACAAACAGAACTGCCCGGTAAACCGTAGGCAGAGAGAGAGAAGAGGACAACAAACGAGGGGCTGTGACAAACTGTTTCGTCGGAGTTTATATATATATATATATCACATATGCTTAATATATATATACATCACATATGCTTAATATATATATATATCACATATGCTTAAAGTGTAAGCCTCTCTTCGGATTAGCCACACCGCTAGCCCAATAACCACTACTTCTCAAGCTTTATCGGTAGTTACATCTTGATAATCCCCTAGGTGACTCAATTTATCACCAACTGACATTACCAAAGATTCTAGGCATAGTACAGGTCGCAATACCTATCATAACACAACACGGTCTGAACTCAAGGAAAAACTTTTGCAATTCAACCCCTCACTTCGCACTCATCAATCACCCCTCTTATCCATGTTGCTCACGTATCAGAAGCCTTCTCTGAAACGAGGCTCTATTGGCTATGGGGAGACGCCCCAGTATAACTTAACTACCTCCCTAGACCGACTTAGCACAACAATCACGTAATGATTCAACTAGCCTTGGCGCTTTAGCAGTTATTAACGGAGCCTACTCCAATAATAGACGCACCCCGCAATATTGATGCCTCTGCGTGCAACCCAAGCCGCATCAGATATGCTAAGCATCGTCCGGACCCATCAATTATCAAGGTCAGATAGCGTACCAATTCCAACTACCAGCATAATAGTCAGAGTACGTGAGTGCATAGTCAGAACGTTGATCGCTCTTAAACCACGAGTATAACATCAGAAAGGCCAGACTCACATAATCGATACGCTCCAATCTTTTTAGAAACTCAACATATAGGAGGGCATGTCAATGCTAAAGGATTAAACCCTAGCCTTTGATACGGCTACCAACATATTTTAATCCTGTTCTGACGACTCAAGTTACTCCAATGGCTATGTCATGTACCCAAAGTTTTTATTCAAATATCTTAGTACACAGAACAACTCCAATATGGGTACCAAATCTATCCCAATATCATCCAGTACGCATAGCATTGCTCAATACCTTACGTGGTACTAAAGTCCACCCTATAATTTTCACGGTATACGTGCAAGTCTATTATGCGCTTATCTTCACTCTCGCTTAATCAAATACCGTCATCAATAAACCATTCTTGTTTCAACATGTCTCTCTGATCAAATAAAAGTTGTCGTTTTCACCGGATGATCAGTCCACCTTTAATATGGGATCGATCTCTAAGGACCTCACAATCTTAAGACACTCCCAACAATAGCCAAGGTATCAAGCAATCAATCATATAAATCTAAAGAAAAACTTCTCATTTTGCCTAGTTTTCTTACTACCAATACCCGAATGTCGTTCCACCAGGGACAACGGTAGGCAACTATTATCCCCGATAACGGTGCCACCTCGAGCACATCGGTCCGGCACCGTTGTAGGGGCCGTACCCTGAAGGACTTTCAAGCCTTAGTCGACCCCACTGCTGGTCCCATTTGGCTCTACCCGCCCACGCTCACGCTCAGGGCGCGGGTCGTTCGTCCCAGGGGCACCCCCACCTAATGCTATGAGATGGATGGGGATGGGCCTTTTGCGAGAGGGCTTTACATTGGGGGATGTAGCTCCGCTCTCGCATCACAATGGTAGCTCTTTCGTCACTCGTGGCGTTTTCCTGATTCAATTAAGTCTCACCAGGCAATTGCTCCTTCCAATACGCAAGCAGTCCAAGGAGTTTATTGAAGATTTGTCTTCTTATCATGCGTAGGCCAAGCGTCATCCATTGGGCCACGCACCTTTTCACTAAGCCTAGTGGCTCAAGACAGCCCTTACGGCATCCTTGGGGTGGGGTGGCATCGCCCTGACCCCTAGCCGCTATATTTTTTTGCTTGAGCCACTAGCATTGCATTCACATATCCAAGACAGCCCTTAGTCCTTCCGGGCTTGCATTGCATTCAAGAGAGCCATTGCATTCAATCGTCACACAAGGCACATAAAGGCGTCTACCACTCATCCAAGCATCCGACCATCCAACCCATCCTGCGTTCATAGTTT